GATGAAATCGGTGACTTTGAATCGTGAGCGGCGTTCGCAAATTTTTACCCCTTATGATATTTGAAAATGTACCTGCGTTCTTAATGTACATAAGAAAATATTTTTATTGTATTACTTATTTTTTGGTGTGTCATTTATTATCTAATGTATAATACGATGTGTAATACATTCAGTGTTGGTTTTCTGTTTATGCACATAAGTGGTGATCAATTATGAAAGACAGCAGAGTGTACATGCAATTTGCCGTACATTTATTATTTATAATAACAAATGTATGAGTGTCTTAAGTACTCAATTTAGAAGTGTCCAAAAGTCTCAATTTAGAATTCTTTATGAAAATATAAGTGTAAAATGTCAATAGAGTTTCATTTGAAAATTCGATACGTCACAGTCAATATATAATTAATATATCTTGCTTTTTTATGGATGCACAAAGTGACTAATTAAATTATCAGATCCACCCGCATACAGTGTTGTGATGTGTACAACTCACAATTTGCAAACATCAATTCTTCACGAAAGAAATAACAGTTAGACATAATTGAGTATTCATGTAAGTGGTTCTAATAATTTGGTCAGCCTCTATGATCAAATTATTATGTCAAGTAAAATAGAATCAGTTGAGGGTACTTTAGCTATAATATCATTTGTAACAGTACACGCTAATAATTGTAACAATTTCAACAATCACAATCACATTAAAAATTGTAATAATGGCAAGAGCTTTTCAACATCAAGATACTCGTCAAAGAAATACCAGACCATCAGAATCCGCTAGAATCGACGGAACACTTTTAAACAAAACACTTGGTAATGAAGTATTCAAGAACGGGAACAAGTCAAGAGAAATCGTGTATTCATTTCACACCAACTTGCGAGTACCGCTAGCAAGAAAACAGCGAATCAGATCGATTCGACTTCGGGGATTTGTTCGTCGATCAGATCGCGGTATCGAGTGGGCGTACCGCACGAGGGTCAACCAGTCGAGATCTTGGTTTTGCCGTTTAACGAGGATCGGCCCTTCTGTAAATGAGACTCGATGACCTGGCAGAAAATCGAGGAACGAGTCCGCCTTGGTTCTTGCATAGAGGAATGATATCGTAAGAAAACGAGCCGGGCTATCTCGCTATGCGAACGAAAGTGCAGTCGCAGCACTCGTTCTTTTCAACGGGGTGTCGTCGATGACTTTCTTTACGTTGCGCAAGGATACCGATTGTTGCGTGGAAATCAAATCTTTTTATATTTTCTGCGTGGGAATCGTTGACTGTTTAGCGGTGGAACGGTGGAATGTTAATAATTTCGGACGTAGGAAGTTTGGAATATTGGGAAATGTGGGACACTGAAAAATTTGGTACATAGAGAATTTTGGGACGTAGAATAATTTGGGACGTCGAGAAATTTGGGACATTAAAACTTTAGTACTTGTGGATAACACACATGTGCATACATATACACATATACACATATGCACATACACATATACACATACACACATGTACACATATACACATATGCATATACACATATACACATATGCATATACACATATACACATACACACATGTACACATATACACATATGCATATACACATATACACATACATACATGTACACATATACACATATACACATATACACATATACACATATGCACATATACACATGTAGATATCATATACTACATATAGCACCATATAGAAATATATATGATAGTACCATACAATATTACTGTAAATTATCAGTTATTAATACAATTATTATAATACAACTTCTTTAGACCACCTGAACCTATAATTTAGATTTAGCTAATTTCGTATAGATACCATCTTCGCCTAAATCTCAAGTGTAAAACAGTAATTATCAGAGATTCAAAGTAAAACAAAGAAGCTCTCCAACTATCAAGCAGCTCCAAAAATTCCAATAATTCAAACGATAGAATCGATAGTTCTGGCTAGAAACAGTCAAAGGGCACCGCTACCTCCAAGCTTAGTGAAGCACGATCGTAAAGATTGAAAAAGCAATCGGTAAGAGACGGGCTACTGGTATTCCTCTATCCGATCCCGTATTTCGAGAATCGTTTCGTAACCGAAGTCCGATGGTCTTTGCTCGGCAATGCCGCCGCGACGTACGCCGTCTGCATATCAAGGCGTCCCCGGTAGCGCCGTGCCTTCTCTCTCCTCGCGGCACGTACGTCGTTCATTGTCAGTCTGTTACCTTTTTGTACTTATTTAATACCGTCCTCTGCCGTTTTCCACGTACAGTGAATGCGTAAATGCTCAGGGTGGACGTGGATCGCGCGAAATCCAAGGGAGAAATCGCGCGCGACTCGTCGCTTTTAATTGCATCCTCGTTCGCCGTGCCTTTTCTTCCAGGAAAATCATCGCAATCCGTATCTTGATACGTAGATGACCGATGATCGACTCCCTGTCCGAACATTTTACGGAATGTACAATTGAAGCGCTTAAGGATTTATCGAAACGACGTTTCAAGGAATTCTTGTGTGATCTTTTATAGACAGTTTCACGAGGGACACTAAATCATTTAAGATTAATTATGAAGAATAATTTATTCAAATCAACTTGCAGCTTCAAAGTATACTTTCCAAGTATATATTGGTCCATTGGTCCACCTCAAAGTATATCAATTTGTCCATTTAATCTTGCGTGATATTTTATAGACAGTTTCACAAGAAACGTGGAACACCAAATTGTTTATGATTAGTTATGAAGAATAATTTATTCAAATAGGCTTGCAAGCTTCAAAGTATACTTTCCAAGTATATCAATTGGTTCATTGGTCCATATCAAAGTATCAATTTGTCCATTTAATTTTGAGAAGCTGTTACCATCAAACAGTTACTATCTGTTACTATCATCATGCTGCTGAAAATGAGCAACCTGTCGAGGAAGATTCGTGACCATACAATGAACTCCAATATCCCTAGTATAACTCCAGTATCCCATAATCGCAAAACTGATCGGTAGGCTTCGAGTTGAATTAGCGTGCAGAAAATAATACATAAATTATCGAGTGAACGCTACACAACAATGATTACGATTACACAGCAGTGGTCGTCAGGCACGCCGACTCGGTTAAGAGCCAAATAAGGGTGTCGAGAACTCGCATTGCCGGCTCTTTTATTATTCATATGCGAGAGAGTAAGACGCGTGTAATGCTCGCCATGTAAGCGCACGAGACATTTCATTTCGACGCGTGCACGCGCGACCGAGGGACCTACCCCTCTGCCAGGGGGTGGTTTCTCAACACGCGTGCGTTGCTTTAGTCGCAAATTGTACCTCTAATTCCCTCTGCATTCGAGATATGGTTAAATTACGATCTTTAACGGCAGAATTACCGGGGAGGTCAAAACGACTTGCTTTGGCTCTCACATTTTAAACTATGGAACTTGGATTGTTCTTATCGAAATACATAGACTTTGTAAAGATAGGTACACGATAGGTGTTTCACCTATTTAATCAATTTTCTACTTTATTTGAGATTTAAATTTATAGTGACGGTTCTGGTGTTATAGATCTAAATGCATATATATAATTAAGACTTCTTACATCCAACCTACATCTGTCAATTAAAGGCTTCTTCCTAAGCCTTACCTAGTTACACCAATGTCTAATATATCTATACGTATGATATCTATTAAAACATATGATATCTGTAAAAAGTATGATTAAACATTTACAGTTTATCAAATGAAGGTTACAGTCGAAGGAAGAATTGCTCATTGTCTCTAATTCAATAGAATGTACTTACTTGCATAACCTTAGCAATTTAAGATTTATACAATTGAAATCTCCTGAATGTGACACAAAATCGATTTACCTAATTTAACCTTGCAGTCTCAATTCGAATGCTAAACTAACTGAATCGCACCTATTAGTCGTAATCGGTTTTTCATTATTTTAAATATACCTTACATAAATATTTCATATTTAACCCATTAAACTTTTCTGTTTAATGCAGCATTCATTAAACTTTTCTGGGCTGCGACATTGGAAAGACGTCTCTTTAATTATTCAAGTTTGGAAGTATCGAAATATTATTTACAAATTGCCCATTATTTGATAACGAATTTGCAATGCTCGATATTGGTGATCTTGTCAGATAAAAAGGGGAAGTGAATTTTGTTTTGTACCAGATCTCTAGTCTCGAAAATACCTTACTGCCTGTCTCGCTAAGATGGGTGTGACCACAGTCCGCGATCGTATCGTACAGGTTTGTTTAAATAATCGGACGTTTCGGGAACGTGGCGCGTATCTCCGTGTCGGCATCTGGCCAGCCAATATGTATGATAATTTTGACATGCCTACACCTCATAATGGATCCTGAGTATGTACACTCGGGTGCAATGTAGGCTTCCTTTGGTTAGGGACTAGTGTGGGGGAGAGCCCTTCACTTTCCTTAAATTTTAACTCGAAATTTTCAAGTCTCTGTATTTAAAAATTTTTAGATCTTCAAATTCTAAATCTTCAAGAGCTCAAATTTCCAAATTTTTAACTTTCTACTTTTTTAAATTATTAAATGTACTTTTTAAGTTTCTGAGTCTCACACAATTTATACAGAAAGGTGATTTTTCTAAGCTACAATTACTTTAAAAATATTGCAGCAATTAGCGAAGGGAATTATAAAAACAGTTTACTGTAAAGAAGTTGACTTAATTTTGAGAGCTCCTTAGATATTTTTTAAAACACATATCTGCGCGCTCTCTCTAAAAATGGCACCACTAGCATCATCTAATGGTGAACAGTGGTAACATTCAAACAGAAAATAGAATTTTTCCTGAAAATCTGCGACTTTTACATTTTTTCCAGATGAATCAACTATTTGTTAATTTCCATGAAACTAAATGCATGCAATAATAATTCTTCAAAACAGTTAAAAATAAAAATGAGAAATATTTCATTTTATGGCCACCAAAATGTTCAGCCATCTAACGGTACAGAAAGGAAACTAATTTAAGTTAGAATAAGAGTACAACGCTAAAAGACAGGAAAGTTATGTATATCGATAAAAACGAAAGGACGCTTCAACGGCAATAAATTTGCAAGGCGCTCCATGTCGAAGGTAGAAGCAGTGCTTTCAGGTAGTAACAACGGAAAGCTGTCAGAGTGATTTTGGGATTTTATTAAACGTGGTTATAATAACAATAATATAGTTTGTGATGTGTTTATGAGATCACTGAAAACAGTTGTGATTGCAAACAGTATTATTATTAAGAGCAAGGAAAGAAACTTGTTAATATTAACATGTCTTCCCTCCAAAAGTCGATTTTAAAATCAAAATTACCACCATCAGGTGTGAACTTTGGAGTCAGCTCTGGGTTGGTTTTTTGTGCATTATTCTTGGATGTTGAATGAAACTTTGCAACATTTAAGCTATTTATAAGTGTGATTTAACAATGACTATTTTTTTAATATATGTTTAACACTAAATATTTTAGTAGGGTTACTAAGTCTAAAGGGTTTCAACGTAAGAGAGATTATGATCCAGTGCAGTGGATGCCATATTTTGATCAGTCTGAGGATGTAGAAATAGGAAATAATACATTTCATATTTATACTAAAGGTTCTGAAGAACCGACATTAGTATTACTACATGGAGGTGGATATAGTGCGTTGACATGGGCAGAATTCACTGTAGGTATTGGTTTTTTAATGTAGCAAATGTATTGCAACTGACATATTTTGTATGTTTTAGAAATCTATCATGACTATGATAATCTGTAAAGTTATGGCAATTGATCTTAGAGGACATGGAGATACACATACAACAAACGAGGAAGACCTATCTGGAGATACTCTAGCAGAGTACGTGAAGCTTTCATGGCTTAACAAAACCATATGTATATTATATTATTATATTCTAATGTTACTGTTTGATCTAGGGATGTTGCAGCAGTTGTACAAGCAACATTAGGCAACAGTCCTGTAATTCTAGTAGGACATAGTATGGGTGGTGCAGTAGCTGTTAGGGCTGCACCTTTAATCTCAAACTTATCTGGATTAGGTGTTATTGATGTTGTTGAAGGAACTGCAATGGATGCTTTAGCATCTATGCAAAGCTTCCTCAGATCTCGGCCATCTAGTTTTAGTTCTATTTCACAGGCAATAGAATGGTGGTTAGTACCCTTATTCCCTGTACAATATAAGGATACTGCTTCTTCTTTATCATTTTCATCTAGTTTTTATTGATTAACAAGCTTTGCTATTCTAAGCACATTTTTCAGAAGGAAGGCATATTTTTGGCTGATCCTGTACAAACTAAAATGCTCTTTATGTTCTTAGTATCTTACATATTTGTGTTATATTATCAAAACAAGATTACAGAAGAATTTCTAATTATCCACATTTTAGTGTACGAAGTGGCCAAATCCGTAATGTACAATCAGCTAAGGTGTCAGTTCCTGGACAAATCAAAAAGTTAGTATACTAATGCAGTGCATGAATTTCATACATTATTTTTGTATCATTTTCATATGCTATAATTTTACTGTAGCATCGAAACAAACAAATTAGCGACTCACGATATCGATTCTCTGTCACAATCAACGTGTCAGTGTAATTCTGAAACTTCGATTCCGCGAGAGGATATTATCCAAGAAGAAGAACCTGTCAATATGCCACCGCCACCTCCACCTACCACTGCCACTACTACCAGAAAATATGTTTGGAGAATAGATTTATCCAAAACTGAGCAGCATTGGTTTGGGTGGTTTAAGGGTTTGTCAACAGCGTTCTTGAATGTACCCGTTCCGAAGGTACTATTACTAGCCGGAGTCGATAGATTAGATCGAGAACTTACCGTTGGTCAGATGCAAGGTAATAATAATGTCATATACATACATTAAAATTAGTGATAAATATTTATGAGCTGCATCAAAGTTATATTTTTGTATTAGGTAAATTTCAGATGCAAGTATTACCAGCATGTGGACACGCGGTGCACGAGGATGTTCCAGATAAAGTAGCAGAGGCAATTGCTACTTTTATGGTTAGACATAAATTTGCCGAGCCAGCATCGGACTTTCCACGGTAAATTTAAATTACAAAAATTTTGATATATATATTTTAACATATATTAACTTGTATCTCTGGATATATTACAGAACTTTTCCTGCATGTTAGGTTGATATGGAAGGATATTATAAGCAATTTTATTAACAATATAATTATGAAAAATTTAATGAATTAGTTAAAATGAGCATTTTATTTATTTAAAAAAGATATATTCGCAAAATATATATAGGAATACATATGTAAATAAAAACATTATTTCGACAAGAAAAATAAACTTGTTCTTACATACATCGGTTTTTTTTATCATCTCCATGCACACACACTGTTATGTTTGTGTAATTGTATATTTATAATGACATATTGCTATGTGTACAAAAATATTAATAAAAAGTGTAATAAAAAAGATTCTATTAAAAAATTCTTATGTTTGTTATACTATTCTAGTTATTCCGCTTCCAATTTTATAATACTTCAATACGTTTATACAAAAAAATTGTAGATATAAATATATACAAATTCACGATAATGCACAAACATATACCAAATTATAATACAGACATAACCATGTCCATATTAAAATTAGCGAAGTTTATGAACATATGTTTACAGTTGAAAATAATGTTCCTTCCGTAATACCGTGATATCGATAAATGCATCTTTCGATTTAAGACACTGAATTAAAACATTTGATTTTATGTTTGAAATTCTATGCTTGAGCATGTGCAGATTGCACCGTTAATTGTCAAATCCGAAATCTGTTAAATTTTTTATAACAACACATGGAGATCCCGCTCGACCAGCTTTCAAAGGGGCAACCTTAAAATATATTACCTCATAATTTATTTATAAAATTTATTTCTGAACAGTTGAAGACACTCATTCTTACCGGTTCCCATTCATTCAGATGAGGATCGTATGCTTCGACTAGCGTAAGGTATTGCTGGCCATCGTAGCCACCTACTGCCATAAGTCTATCACCGAGCACACAGACACCAACAACATCCCGTGGGGCACTCATCGGGGCAACCATTGTCCACGTATCTGTTTTAGGGTCGTACCTTAAAATTTTTAAGCATGAAACATATTAATTCAGTATCGTGACTTACATATTTTTGAACATGTATACCTTTCAACACAATCGAATCTGCTGGCGTTGGGATTAGTAGAAGGTGCATCATGACCACCTAATGCATAAAGGCATCCATTTACTACACCTACACCTACTCCACCTCGTCGTTTTGACATGGGTGCACATGGAGTCCATTTATTAGTATGTGGATCATAACACTCCACTGTATTTAAACATGAACTTATATCCCTTCCACCTACAGCATATAATCTAGAAATACGCGCACATGATACACATAACTATACAACTGAGCATTGATCAGCCTATTTGAAAACTTACTTATCATTTAATACAGCAACACCAACTGTAGATCTTTGTATTGACATAGGAGAAACTGAACTCCATTGACGCGTTGCCGGATCCCATCTTTCTACCGTATCAAGAAAACTCCAACCATCATGACCTCCAACAGCATACAAAGGTCCACCTAACACAGCTACACCTAATCCATGACGATGCACATTCATGGGAGATAATGTACTCCAATTAAAAGTTGTGAAATCAAAACATTCTACAGTATTCAATGTCTTTAATCCATCTCTTCCACCAGCAACTATTAATTTTTTGTCAACAATAGCAGCACCAAACTGAAGTCTTCTACCACTCATAGTGGCTATTGGTTTCCAAATATTATCTCTAAGAGAGAATGCATCTATAGAAGTAGCACCTAACAAAACAGTATCAAATAATTAAATATCCATTTTGTCATTCATTTTCAATTGAATTACCCTTATTGGCATCCATTCCTCCAACAGCTAACATATGACCCACGGTAGCTTTTCTGGGTTTTGTACGTCCTGACTGTAGCAATGGCCTACGTTCAGGTAGAAGGTGATATTTTAATGCTTCCATAACTAACTCCTGTGCCATTCTTTGATCTTTGAACATTTCATTGCTTTCGATATTATCCGCTATAAACTGTATGAATTCAATAAACTCTATTCGAATCAGTTGAAACCTTCATAAATATAGAAAAGTATATGACTCACCGCAGGAGATAATAGAGGTAATTTTACTAGACTTAATAGCCTGCTTGCATCTTTTCGTCTATTTTCTGGATCATACTCCAGCCAAGTCATAAGTGCCTATAGTTAATAGTAACAGTAATAGTTCTTCTATCACTTCAAGCCTTGAGTTTAATCAGACATAATTATTGAACTTGAGAATGAAATTATCTAGACAATTTTTTGTTCAATCTTTCAACATTAAAATAATGTAACTTCTTACATGAAAAATAGTTTCTTCTGAAGGTACATTAAGATCTTCAGATTCTAACAGTTTGGCAACTTCGCTAGCAGACAGTAGTAAAAATTCTTGATTTTTTGTAACTTCCATAAAATGCTTTGTTGTATATGCGTGAGCATGATCTAATAAATCTGTACAACCCTGTGTATCCGCAAACATTCTTATCCCTAAACAATTGCTCGGATGGAGTTGTTTCCTAAGAAATTGGCAACAAGCTTTAACGACTGGATTCAACTGCAGCAACCGTGCTGTTGCTAAAAGAGTTTCTACGCTGTCCTCCCTCAACTCTATACAACCTGATGCAAAAAGATTTTATGAATTCCTATTTTCACAATGTCTATCACAACATATCTTTGTTTCCAGTTATACCTGTATAACAATAACAGACTAAAGCCCACAATGCATCCCCATCTATCTCTTTTAATTCAACTTCATTTTGTGCAGATTCCCTTAAAGAACTAGTAAACATGGCAGCAAAATATTCTGAACCTGCGCTAAGTACTAGACGATGTGCTGGAAAACGTCTGTTTCCTGATCAAGTGATAAAATATTAAATATATATTTTACAACAATCAAATAGCTATAAATTTCACCTTATATTAATGTAAATTAAGATGATGTATCATCAAGCCATATATATAACTACAAGACAAAGGAACTTATTCATAACTCTACTTACCAGCAATTAATATAACATCTGTCAATTGTTGCTTATGAAGATACTTCTCCATAACTCTAAGACTATTCTCTGCATGCTTTAACACGCGAAAATTTTCATCCTGAGATGTAGATATGCTAGAAACCATTCTTAAAATATTATGTTCACTGCCAGACGCTTCTTTGTTCGAGAACAAAAATTCTTGCTCGCCTTTGTTCATTCCTGTTCCGGTATGGCTTACTTTCGACATTTTCGCGCGATCAAAAATTTTGACAGTTACACACGCAATAATGCTATGTTTGATTTCTCCAATGCACTTTACTACGTGAAAGTACTTTATTTTCACACGGCCAACAGTCTGTGGTGCACTGAAGCTTAACGGCGATGGAGTGTTGATGCCGTGCTTCACCTTGACAGTTCGAGATGTAAAACTGGATGTAAACAGTGAATCGCGCTTAGGTACGGTCAGTGACCATCTCTTTTCATTTCTTGGGTCAGTGCACTCTGCTAACTGCATTCACTCATCAATCGAATATAAACAGAAGAACTAATGTTATGTTCAATATTAAAGAAAATGGCATACTGATGTTTAAAATTACAACAAACAGTGGTTTTATGCAATTTACAGAAAAATACGATCCCAATTCCCGTCTTTCTTTGTTAAAGCCATCAGAGAACTATATAGCTACATTCTTTTCGTACCAAACAAAGGTATGTAAACGAATTCAAATATTTTGTTAGTAAAAACTTAATTCATTTCCAAATTTACTGTTAATATTAGACAATAAATAGATTACAGTTAGATTAGGTGAATGACAACGAAAAGTAAATTCTAGGTTATACTATTTGTCTTTGTATAGAGTGATACATGTATTGTGTACAACAGGGATTCTCAAATATTGGGTTGGGACCTATTTTCTGAAACTGGTCATAATTTGTGATTCATTACTTTTTCAAATATCAGAGTACCAATGTTTTTAAGTTCTACAATTTCAAAATACCAAAGTCTTGTTTTTGAATGACTCATCCAAAATCAATTCCCGATTTAGGATCCTCACTTTGGGAACCTCTGGTGTACAGAATTTGAAAGTGCATGTTTCATAGGTATGACTCACCGAGAGTTGTAAAAACCTCACAAAATAACAATTACAAATAAAGAATCTTACTCCGGGGAAACTGCACAAAGAAAAGATATTGATTATGAGTTGAAAAAATCACAATTTTATTGTACTCCACTGTAAATATATTATAAATATACTTCTTTGGATAACACGCGAATTTTACTGTGTTCATTTATATTAATTAAAACATGTTAAATAATGTACATGGTTTATCATATACAATTTATATTCATTAAAATGACAAGATACATAAAGTATTCTGTATGTTAAACTGTATGACTCACATTAATACCTAACAATTTAGTAATTACTCCTATAAGTCACTATTCTACATTTCAAATTAATTTCGTCCAAATTTTTATGGAAAATAACAATTAATATTTATATAAATTCGTGTATATACAAAACTGTGCATGATACATTTTTTTCAACGACTTTGGCATAATACAGTTTTGCTTATACATGTAAATATTCCCTGACGAGAAAAGATACATATTTTTTTTACATACATTTTGCATCATTAAATCTTTTCGGCAGAAAGATTCAGTTTTTTACGTCTATTTTTATTACATTAATACTTTATAAATTATACTGTATACGAACGACATTACAGCCGTTATCATTACGTACACTCGTACACTTTCTGCAGAAATATTTTCAGCAAGATTCCGTTTGACGCTAAGTAAAGTAAACGGAATCGTCTATTATAATATTTATATAAAATATAAAAATGGCAGCCAACCGCAGCATTCAAAACAAAAGAAATGCAACATAACAATTTCATTAAAAAAATACTTTATATGACAAAATTGTCATTGTAATACCCAATATCTGCCATTGAACCATAAGATTTATCTAATACATTATTGTCGATCAACGAACTATATACAGATTGCCCCCTCGCACCTGTGTTCCGTTTTCGTTGAGAATTCTGTATTTGACTCTGTGAATGACCCGTAAAAGGGTCTTTTCCGACAACAACATAGTCGATCGAACAGTTCGGATAAATCGCTCCTTTCAGAATCATCTCTATAAAGACCACTGGATGCTTCGTCTGTACAAGCTGCGATAAAAGTTTGCAAATCATTTTTCGGGAAACCGTCTCGATAATAAAGTTTAATCGTATCGTAAGCATCCATTATCACAGAAATGAATAAACTTAAGACCACGTATATGTACAATGAAATGAACGTGTATAAATAGATCCTAGAGTACCACCATAGCATAGGCGATTTAAAAGATGTTATAGAAAACGTGGCGTACATGTCGTCACCATTTATCAACGCGAACAGGCATTCAGATGTCGTAGCGAGCGACCTGAATTTCATATGATATGGACCTAATATTAACCAGCCGCAGAAAGTAAAACCAGCATAAATAAGAATAGCGCATATTAAAAATCGTGCCACCTTCGGGGCAGCTTTTTTCAGTGTTAAAATAACAACGTTGTACGTCTTGAAGAAGCCGAGGTATCGTAGCACGCCGAACCAAACCAGCAGGTTTCCAGTGCCAAGGAATATACTACACACGTTCCAGTGATCGCTACCAAACTGTTTCCGTTCAATTTGCTCCTTCACAGCCGAGCCAATAATAATTAAGAGATCATTTACAATAATCATCACATACCACAAATTCAAGAATTCTAATCTTCCCTCGAAACTTAAAGTTTTGCCATAAGTTTTCTTGAAGAAATTCATAGTTTCGAATTTTAGCAATTGTGCCCTGTATATAGCTCTTGAACATAAACCAAGAGATACAGTACAAATTAGGATTACGAGTAAGTTTAATAATGTTCTTAAAGCAGATTCAATGCGGTTATCGACAATGTAACGTGTGTCGCCTTTACATTGCAATCGTTTCGGTTCAGCGTCTAACGAAAGTAACATTTGTCCATCGAAATCACGGTTATCGAAAAGAATTTTTATGTTAAATTGGTAACAATCGGGTGGTGCCATAGGTCCGGCAGCTTTTAAGTTAACTGTCTTTAAGGCAAATTTTAAATCGGCTCTAACGAGAGCCGAGAAATTTACGTTAATGTTTTGTGTGTACAGTAAGTTCTTGGAGGTGGTAAATTGCTGGTAAAATTGATGAGTTATATTTATACAAGTTTTTACGATTTCTTTATCGAAAACGTAACTTTCATTAAAACCGAATATGATACCTTCCTTGTATTGATACAAGCATAAGACAGCTGGACCTATCGCATTATTTTCCGCGGTATATGAATATGAGCCAATAGCATTACTGAGATTATAATACCCATCTAAAGCATAATCGATTGTCATAAAGAAATCGTCTCGTTTATAAATTGCCAAAGGACCAGTTGCTGGAGGATACATTGGTACCTGCAAATAAAAAGTTATAACATTTTTATGTTAATCATTATATTGTAATATCAATTTAAATAAGTGATTAAATAATACATTACCTCTTGAGTAGCATCCCAGCCTCTAAGAAATAGATGCGAAAAAGCTATTCGATTATCCCAAGCATAATTTACATGCATGTAGTTGTTATGAGCAAATAGGCACAATTGTATGGTGACTAACACAATTTTGACAACTTGTACAGTGAATTTATAAGGGAAACGACGTTTTGCTTGCCATTTTTCAATTGGATTCATAAAGAAGAATTTCAACTTTCTACGCATTTTTTCCTCTGCAAACAGTGTCATATCGCAGATAGGTTGGTCTGTTAAAGTTGACTGATGATGACTATAAAAAAAAAATTTCCAATAACAATTATGTGTGCAGCTTACTTAGCCAAAATATTCTATGAGTATTTTAGTGTTGATATCTACTTTCAACAATTGTAAACTGAATTCTAACAATGCTTGAACATTGCACGGAAATTTTTATATCGTGACAATGAACAGCCTTGAAAGAAAATGCAGATTTAGTTACAAATATTAAGATTAACATTTTGAAAAATATTTACTATGATTTACATATGGGAGCGTAACAACAAGTGTAATATCCTACTGTGAATAGTACAACAGTTAACAAAAAAAGCTAACTAGATAAAAATTGTAACACCTGTTATTGACCAAAGATCATACGTGACAATATACTAAAATCACATAACTAATAATATCACAGATTAATCAAGGACGGATTTACAAGTAATGCGATAAACTTACGAACCTTGGACTTATATTTTCGTTGAGCAGTCCATTCTCTCCAGCTATTTCGTCTTCGCTATCAGGTCCATTACTCCACGAATGGTTCTTGAGGATATTACCTCTGGATTCTTCTCCCTTTCTTCGTGATTCTGACATTTTGTACGAATTGTAATCTCAAAAAACGATAGAATAAACTGAAATTGATGACCGAAGATGTTTTATCCCGCGGAATTGTCCCAATTTCCGACGGACGATAGGAGTCCCAGTTGTTCACATGCGTTGATCTGCTGAGCAACACAATAAAGATTATTCGATGACATCAGTCACTGCCGCGTGATCGTGTATTGTTTCGTGGAGGAAAAATAGCGTTTGCAACCTACTGGATTGTAATACGCAATGAAAGGCGATCGCAATGATTTCACGTTGTTAGCACCGGCCATCGCAGGCCACCCAATTCACATACGTAGTTCGACTGATCGGCGCGCTCCTTCGGCTGTTCTGTGAAACCAGCTGATCAGAATAGTGGGGGTGAGTGGTAGGGACGGAGTTAATTGTTGATCGAACAGATGATCAAATAAAGCCGAAAATAATCTAGGCTTTTATCAAAGAAAATAGCTGTACGTGAATGACACAACGAATTATCGAATACGGTAAACGTTTTTTAAGAAAATGGCGAGAAGGATTACCGCTCCTACAAATTAAGTTCTGGAAATTTCTTAACTCCCACATCTTGAAATTTCCAAATGTCAAACATCCAAAGGTATAAAGCTTCAAAGTACCACATTCTTAAATATCCAAATCCTCAAATATTCAAATTTCTAAATTTCTAAATTTTTAAGTCTTTAAATACTCAAATCAGCAAATAATCAAATATTCCAATTTTCGAACTATAGGTGGGAAGAGCACTCGTGTAAAGTTTTGGCGCGAAGCCTACCGTACTTGGTTCTGTACATAACCAATTATTATCACAAGCATTTGACGTCATGTTTCTAGATATGTTTTTCGCAAGTTGTGATTGTTATCGTGAGCAAGTTAAGTACCGTTTGAAAGCAATAAATAAGTGCGAAGCCGTAAAACACTTGAGGTTAGTAAACTTTTATTGATAATTTCATATAATCCTAGCAAAACATCAAATCCTTATGTACATTACCATCCTAAAGTATGACTCGTGTAGATTTTAGATAATCAAACATCAAGATTTATCATTATTTTTTAATCATTAATTCTCATATAATTAAATATCGATATAGTAATAATGTATCTATAATTCTGACATACATTGAATTCAGATTTATGAGAGAAAAATTGAAAATGCAATTTCCCGCACATTTGACGACTACTGCAAGTGGCGCTGCCTTTAAAACTTCGCGGGAAGGAATGAAGTGACCGATTATAAAAGGTTGATTATACGAAGTGAAAAATTAGTCAAGGTGCTCAAAGGTAAGTAAACAAAAGTATTTTCGTACGTATTATGCCGCTTGTTTGCTCGTTAGCAAGCAAAAAGCATAATATTCGTTGAAAAAAATTCGAAAGCACTGAAACATGGTTGCGAAGTGGGATCTTGGGCGAATTCGATGAAATTAACTGCTGAGAGGTCGAATTGAAAAGGCGATATGTATATTAATTGAATCTGTATATTAATCGAATTTTTATATCAAATTTGTAAAATTTTGTATCTACATTTTTTTACATTTTTTAAGTTCTTGCCATATTTCTATATTGATAGATTTCTACATTATCAAATTTTTATGTTCACAAATTTCTACATTTTAAAATTTCTAAATCTCTACTTTTCTACATTTCAACATCTCACATTCCTATATTTGCATATCTCTACATTCCCAACTTCTCTTATTAATAAATCACTAACTCCACAAATTTAGTTCCTACATCCCCAAATCCCTGAATCTCAAAACTTCTAAATTTGTAAATCGCTACATTCATAAATTTCTGTACTTCAAAATTCCTGTATCTCCAAATCCCTCAATTTCCAAACTTCTACATCCTCAAATTTAAAAATCCCAAAATTTCCAAATTAAAAAATTTTCAAATTCTTCTATTACAAAATTTGAAAACTTTTAACCTCACGAATTAAAGTGAACAAACGATAGAGCCTCTTTCTGCCGTAGTTTATTGCTTACAATAATTCTTGCAATAATGTCTAATTTAATGCAATTAACCCATCTCAGATTTTGTTAGTATTTACATATCGCTGTTACCCTTCAGTCTAATTTCAAAAAAGTTTCGTGTTGAAGTGTCCTTGTGATACAACCACCTCAGGAAAGAAAATAATGCCAAAAACCGACATTCACAAGAATGTCACGACAGAAAGTTAAAATCTGAAGATCAGAATGAATATAGAACGTGACAGAATCCTATACCTTACATAGTATTTTAGAGTACCTAGTCGTTAAAAAAAGTTGCTTTCCTCCGCACGATATTTTACTTACCCATCACTGATGACAAGAGGGTGGGTGCGCGCGTTTCGTCGTTTGAGGATCGGCGCGCGTTGTCGATGCACCTTCTGCGCCAGCGTATCGGGCTTCGCAACACACACGAACGGTGTGTCCTGCCGCGCGCGCCAAGTGCCTAGGAGAGGAAGCGCAGCGACGGAGCCGAGCTAAGCTCGGCCTTCCTCGACCGACCGTAGGCGCAGTCTCTCATCGTCAGTCTATCTCGTTCCCAGCCCCGTGAGAGCACGCTTTCGGGGTCAGATCTATCCTCCGAGTGTGTCCACCTCGACGCAATCCTCAGCTGTCCGCGGTCACCGACCTGACGGCCCGTCGGTTCTGTTCACGCGATATTCCCCACGGTGTGCAGTGTCTCCGAGTGTCGATCTGCGGTGTGCAGTCATCGGTATCGTCACCAGTAAACAGAGCAGCATCGCGCGTTCTCTCGTCCTTTTTCCCCTACACATTCTCCCATACGTTTGTACACAAAATCGTTGTTTCCCCCGATCCCTTCGAGTGGCACCGCGCGGAGTTCACGGAACGAGCCTCCAGGAAGCATGGTGGATCAACAGCAGTCGGAGCAGCAACAGGAAGCTGTGCCGAGCGTGGTGGAGCTGAACGTGGGCGGTGTGTTCTACACGACCGCTCTAACCACCCTCACCCGGGAGAGCGATTCTCATCTGGCCGCTTTGTTTTCGGGGAAAACGCCGGTCGAGAAGGACGCCAAGGGAAAGTATTTCCTGGACCGGGACGGGGTACTTTTCCGTTACGTGCTCGATTTCCTGCGCAATCAGGCGCTCGTTCTGCCCGAGGGCTTCCGGGAGAAGGAACGGTTGAAGCAGGAGGCGAACTTTTACGGTTTACCCGGGCTGGAACGTGCCATTCTGGAGAACAAGACTTCCGGTTCCTTGACCTCGTCGGGGAAGAGACCGCCCGGTCACATAACCGTCGGTTATCGCGGCAGTTTCGCGTTCGGTCGCGAAGGTCTGGCGGATGTTAAGTTCCGGAAATTGTCCAGGATCCTCGTATGTGGTCGCGTCACTCTCTGCAGGGACGTCTTCGGGGAGACGCTGAACGAGAGCCGTGATCCGGATCATGGCGCTTCCGATCGCTACACCTCTAGGTTCTTCCTGAAGCACAGCTCCATCGAGCAGGCTTTCGATATGCTTCAAGAACAGGGATTCAAGCTGGCAGGTAGCTGCGGTTCCGGCACAGCTGGCAGCAACACGGAACAGCTGAAGCCCGGAGTGGACTCCGAGGAGAATCGTTGGAATCATTACAACGAGTTCGTCTTTGTCCGCGATTAAGCAGCATTTCTTGTTCCTCCTTGGTTCGAATTAGCTGAACGAGCCGGTCGCTGGGAATAGTCGGTGTCTTTTATTTCGACCGGCCCGGCGGGATTCAATTCCAACCTCAACATTTGGAATTCTCGGATTACCTCGTCCGTCGAAGACGATACGGAGCTGCGATTGGCTACTCCGAAGACTTTCCTTCTCGAACTGATCGTAACCGGTAGGGTAAACACAGTAGCGATGAACATTGTGCATGTAACTATTGAAACTCATCGAGCTACTAAAACGACGATGACATGTATTCCTCTTTCAAATATTCCTTGTTCGTCTCTTCCACGCGGCCGGACTCGAAAGGATCGTAACGTTGTTGTATTTGGATGAAGTTAGCGAACGAGTCTTTGTTGAAATTAGCAGACTCGTCTCGTACACGTGCACTTCGGCGCGGTGTTGAATAACGAAGGTCGAAGCACTCTCGTTGATGGAACAAAGCCGGGTTCATCTTGCTTGATTCCGCGGTAATTGGCGGCGTTGAGAAGACCCAGAGACAACGGGAAGTTTGAAGAAGAAGAAAACGATACTGGGATCCTCTCCGAGCAGTTGTTTTAACGTTCAACTAGTCGACGAATCACGCGTGAAAAATTGTACTCTATAAAATAGAAACGCTTTAAGGAGAACGAGAGATTGGATAACGAGGAAAATCAATGTTTGATCGTCCGATTTCGAGAAAGTTTAAACGAAAGATCATCATTCCCTTTTTTCAATTCAAATGTATTCATTGCGCACCTACGTTGTTCGTGTTTAACCGTTCGCTCGCTGAATATCGTATCACTCCAGTTTGAACCGAGAAAGTTTCTCCGCGTAAATATGATCCGAAAGTTCGGCATCGAGAATCAAAGACTCGTTAGGAATACTGTCTGCATTATTCGAATCGACTGGCGCGTCGTCTTGAAAGGATATAAATTCGAACGAAGCCCATCGACAGGCACTTTTCAATTTTTCACCGGTAGCCGTAAATACAAGGAAGAACCATTAGAGGGCAAAACGAGACCAAGTAGCGTTAAATCAATCGACGGTTCAACGTTTGACCCAGAGGTCATTTTAACAAAAAACATATTTAAAAAACGGGTATAAAAGACGATCAAAGGATTTAGAATCGAAGAACAGGCTGTCTACCTGACGTTTCCGATTCGTCTCTATCAATACTATCGTAACGACCAGCTGCAAGGAACGAGAGAAGGACAGATTCAAGATTCAGCTTCAAACAACGCTGGCCGACTGTTCGAGGTTGAACTTGATATTGGACAGTTTGATCGTGTGCCACTGAAACGAGCCTCCTATGTGTACGTATCGTGTAACGAGCTGCTTGTGCATACGTACAAGCCAACACCGTGTTAAACACATGTCGAATAACGCGTATACGTCGAACGCCTATCGTAACACGATTCTTTGATTCCGAGACGTAATGCCCTTTGTTTTCGCGCGCTTTCGATTTTTCGCTTTGCCGTGTCACGAGTCAGCGCGTTTTTCGCGTTTGCCGGAAATAATTGCATTTTGAACGCACACACGCTTTGATTCTTTTCGATTGAACATCGATGGATGCTCTGAAATGATAGACTGTTGCGAACTTTTTCGTATAAAACATTTTAACGTGTTGAATTTGTAAATTTTAGGTATTTGAGTTTTATACTGTTAGTGAGGTGTTTTGTTTCATTTTATTTGGGTCGGTGTTCACTGCGGAGGCTGCACATTTGTCCCACATAATTTTTTTCATTATTACTTTTGAATATTTGTAGTATTAATATTAGTATTGATATTGATATTACCAATATTTGTAATCTTGTATTTTGTATCGCTAAATAATTTGGATTTTTATATTTTAACTTTGCAAGATCCTACCTTTCCTATATCTTCGAGTACCTATATCTCTAAACTCTTAAATTCTCAAATCTTTAAACCCTCGGATCTCATCCCCAAACCCCAAATCCCAAAATTCTTATATCTTCTATATCCTTATGTTTCTATATTCTGAAACGTCTATCTGTAAATTTCCATCACTACATTCCCCAATCTCTACACCCTGAAATCTCTATGTCTCCAAATCCCTTATTAGATCCCCACATCCCTAAATTCCTATATTCCCAGATTCTTATATCTGCAGCTTCCAGTATCAGATCCTTATATTTTCAAATCTCGTTACCGCCATATCTCTGCACCCCTAGGTCTCTATATCATAACTCGTATCTATATTCCGGTATCCTATTATCCCTACATCCGTACATTTCAATGTCCTTACATCCCCGTATCTGTATATCTCCATATCTCTATACCCTGAGATTCTGATACATTAATTGAATGCAACGTGAATGCACGCCCTAGTGAACAGCCAGTAATTTCCTCCCTAATTATTATTAACGTCAATACTATATAAATTATTAAATAATAATTTTACTTTTCTATAATTCTTCAACACGAGTACAAAGGATCAAAAATAGAAGGCGTTCGATTAACCGTTTATCGCGAAACGATTATCACGTTGTTAAGGTTTGAAAAGATGCGTATGATATAGATTTCCTATTAAGTAGAAACATATCGTTGTTCGAAGGAGTAAGATTGTATGTTCGAGTGTTCCAAGTTCCGACGATAAAGATAATTGCAGATAAACGGCGTTATACAATAAGCGAGTCTGAAGAGCAGCAGACAGAACGATCTACTAAATCGTAGAGATAGTATCTATTCAAATTGTTCTGAAATGCTGACAATTTCTCCAGGATGAGTGAGCACGATTGCGTGAAAACCAGACGTATGGTTCCTTTCAAGAAACATTCGTGTTTGCGCGAAAACCTTCGTATAAATTTCATTCGAAAACCTCTTGGCCTGTTTTTTATTCGCTGATATAAACTTATGGCTCGCACGGTCCAATTGATAAAGTTTCCACGTGACTGTTTTCCTCGCAATGCGAAACAACCTTGTCGGTGTCTTATCCGAACGTAAAATTCTTTTTTCCGGCACACTAGTTTTTATTAGATCCGGGCGGAATTATTTATCGGGCGACGTTATGGCTCTTGGAATGTAATTTCTGAGGCGGGGAAATTCGGAGTAAATAAATTTTTCGATTGACAGATTTTCGAAATTGGGATTATTATTTTCATTCATTTTCAAATTTTTAAGTACTCAAATTTCCAGATACCTAAATTTCTGAATTTAAATAAAATTTATGCGTTTTCAGACTCCTTCAAGTTCCAATAGTCAGAGTTTCTAAATCGTTAATTTCTACATTTGCAAATCTGTGAACTCACAACTTTCCAAATCGCCAAATATCTGCTTTCACACACACCTAATATTTTTTATTTTGCTAACAAAAATCAACTTGTAAAATATTTGAGCAGTAAATCACAGAAGCGAAACCGTGATGCAACCAACGCAGCAAGATATTGAAAATTTTTCAATTTGAGATTCCATTTTTCGTCCATCCCTCTGCGCTAGATTCCTGCAGATAGTGTCCTTTTTTTGGAGGGAATATTTCCGCCTCCTGGACGCGCATGCATAAAACAAGGGGACGGAAGCGAGCCTGTATAATCTCTGTTCGGTTCAAGGCGAGATCTTTTCGTCCGGAACAGTTGAAATTTGGCAAGAGGAAAACCGACCTTTCGTGCTCTGACGGTTGTACGGTTCATTGATAACATGCCCGACGTGTCAAAGGACCCAGAGGTATGGGCAATCGAGCCAGGAATCGCTGGAATTCGCTGACAAAGCTGCGATACGAGGACACGCCTCGTTATACTGTGAAGGTCATTCGCGTCAATTCGCATATATGCAAAATACCAGTTACACCCGTGGTACAGGCCATGAATGTTTTCGAGATCGATCGAACGATACGTGTGCATCGAAGGTTACGTAGGTGTCCCGGGAATCGTTTCCTTAAGACGACCTCCTGGAATCGCGAATTCCTGTTTTGCGACACGGCAACGTCCAGGTACACCGATATAACCGATTATTACTTATTTAAAATCTTCTTTAACTTGCTTCTTCATCGATGGTAATTTATATTTAACTCTTTCGTTGTGAATTATCAATCTGCATATACACGTATGTAGACTACACATATGTAGCTACATATCGTATGTAGACTATGTATTTTATGTGACTAGCTACATATATTATGTGTTGACTAGTTTTCTATATCATATGTAGACTAGTCACTTGTATGTCATATGTAGATTATCCACATATGTCAAATGTAGACTAGCTATGTATATCATATGTGTACTAGCTACATATGTTATATATTGACTAGTTTTCTATGTCATATGTAGACTAGTCACCTGTATACCATATGTAGACTATCCACACATGTCATACGTAGATTAGTTACATATGTTACATGTAGATTAGCTACGTATATCATATGACCTGCTATATCATATGTAGACTATCTGCATATAACACATGTAGACCAGCCATGTATATCAGCTATATCATATGTAAACTATGGTTTATGCGTTTAGGAAATGTCGAGGTTTGCGAGGTATGTGTAAAGATATATAAACATACATGTGTAGACATAAATACAAAGAAAATATAAAATGTGTACATAAATATAATGAAAATGTACACGTTATCTATGAAATTTGCAGTCTAAAGATTATACGAGTTATATTTATTTTGCAGACTTTGATATGATAGATCTAATCGCAAGAAATTCTTGTAATTTGTGATGTACATCTGACCACTGATATAGAACCACGTACAGTTGCTTCGATTAACTAGTTATTGCAACTATAACGCTTGACATGGCAAATTGTCCTTGACTGATCAGATTATTAATGAATACATAGGTGACCATGTGTACATACCAATTGGTTTATTATAATGATATCTTATTATTCATCTATTGATTTGCTACGCGAGCAATAGAAGTTATTCTAGAGCTAACTAGATTGAAAATATCTGGAGTCTATTCAAACTATTTGTCAGAAAAACTGTAGATATTTGATAAAATAAGGAAGACACAAGGG